CAGATATTGGGTAGTTTCATGCCTCTGTGATATACAAATAACCAAAAGACAAGTACTGGCAAAGCACTGCAGAAAAAGTTGTTAGACCTTGTGAAAAATATATTAGTTACCAGAGGGAATGGACCGGGAGGAGAGGACAGGGAAAAGTGGGGTAGGGAATTGGCAGGGAGATTTGGTGGAGGAAGTGAAAGAGATGCCTATATAGGGACTAATGAGGTATTACCAAAGTTTATACCAAAAATATAAAAAAATTGATCAATTTTAAAAAACTGGGAAAGATTTATACAGGAGATCCTAGCCTACTCAGTAAGAAAATAAAAGATCAGTACAGTGCTTAACATTAATGAAAACAAATGACAAGCTCAAACTTACCAGGGAGGAATGTGATGACAGAGAAATCAGTGTTGGGGCGCTCTTCGAAGTCCACCATGACTTGTGCGGACCCTTGTCGTGTGTAGCACCTCACTGAGGACCTGTACTGGACATCTCCACTCCTGTGGATCATCGCGACTACCTGCCTGTCATTTTCATTGCCAGTATACACTCGTTCTTTGAACTGCATCTTCGGCACTGCAAGAGCAAGTAACGTATGGATTAATTGAGCATAAATTGCTCAAGAAAGATGGCATGTCAGAAAACATGGCTTAGCGAAAAGAATATGGGACAGAAATGAGAAGAACTGGATCTCAATCTCCACTCAGTCACTTGCTGAGTCACTTTTGGCTTTGAGTAGATCACTTAACTTCCAGCATTCTTATGTCTGAAAGTTTGCTCTGCCTATTTTGTGCAGTAAGGGGGGGCAATGAAATGCTAGAAATGTGGAAACAACAGGAAACTTTTAAGATACCTGTATCTATATGTTGCTTAAACATGTTATTCAGGATTTCTGGATATAACACTAAATATTGTACATAGTTTTAAGCATAGATTTCATATAGACTGCCTATGTATGTATGCTGTATTGACGCTCTATGTATGTATACTGTAATGACCCTCACTGATGGACATGTTGTATGTATTGACATGTATTATAAGACTCTGACTGATGGGAGGGTCTTACAATTGAACAACTTAAAGTTATCAACCATTTGTTCAAAGACACTGAAAGACATATAAAGGGAAAGCTAGATTAAAAACCTGGCTGTGTGAAGAGGCTCCACTTACTTCAAAATTGACAGGGGGGCCTGATAAGAGGTCTTATCGGGAAGTGGCATAAATATAGGTACTACAATTGAGGGCAATTTGAGATGCTCAGAGGCTCCAGGACTGGTGCTGAAGCCTTTTCCAGTTTGTCGAGAGCCACTGGGAGACTTTCTTTCAGAAGAGGTATGTGCTCCTACTAGCAGAGGATGGATTCCTGAAGCTCTCTAGATCAGCTGTCAGCCTCTCAAACTTTGCCAAGAGGTTCAAGAGGTTCATTAACAGCCCATCTTTTTTGCTGCCAATTTAATTGTATGCTTATATTATTATAATGTGAATCCCCTCAATAAATTCACATTGTGGTGATATGCTTTTGGCTTGAGAGTGAAATCTTGCTACATCCCAAAAGTTAGCACTCTGTGGATACCAAACTTGAAAAAACAATAGTTTATCCAGATTATGTTAAAAAAATTGGGAAGTGTGAAATTATGTGTGTTTGCATGTGCATCTATAGAATATCTTGGTAATACTCATGCTGAGTCAAAGGTTGGATGCATCCAAGCAATGTCAAGATCATCAGAGTTGAAGATTATTCAGAATTCCCTTAGGATGACCTGTGAGAACCCCACCAGGCATGCAAAAGCTGGATGTTTTAAAACAATGCTTTTGGCCCATTACTAGGGGAGTTTCAGGAGTGACTGTATAGAGAGGTGACAGAAAATTTCTTGTAGTGAGAAGTGGAAAACAGACCTCAAACACATCAGCCCTGCGTACAGGGTTGTGTAATTCTGTGTAGTTCTTCCCAATCATAGTGAGGAAATTTTTGAAGCATAATCAAGATATTAATTATGCTCACATGTTCTTTTTAATTTGAAAGGAAGATTAACATTCTTCTTCAGAGATTAATTCTGTCAAAATGATCAAAAAGAAAAGGCATGACATGTTTAGCCTTCGTATTGTTATGGGTTAAACTCTCTGTTCCGGGTTCATTGGCTGAAGTCCGAAACCTCAGTACATGACAACACAATCTTATTTGGATATAGGACATTTACAGAGGTAATTAAATAAATGTGAAATCATTAGGTGGGCTCTACTTCAGCATAACTAGTGTCATAAAAAGTAGAAATTTGGACACATGAAACATACACAGGAGATACAGCAAAGACACATAGAAAGAAGATGAATATCTGCAGTTCAATTAGAGAGGCCTGGGGCAGAATCCTTCTCTAAGTCCTTACAAGGAAACAGCCTTGCAGAAATCTTGATCTTGGACTGTTAGTATTCAGAATTGTGAATCAAGAAATTTCTGAATCTTGAGTACATATTCATGGCAGCCCTACCAAACTAATACAGGTATATGAATCCTAGTTTATTACTTGTTATTTGTTCAAACTGTAGCATATAGTTATCACTGTAAGTTAATAAGCACTCACAATCTGAGATAGAGTCATTTATGAACACTGTGGCTTTGTTGGGCTCTCCAAGCGCTGCATTCATTGGCATACGAAGCACCAGTTCAAATTTCTCAATTCCTTCCAGCACTGGTTGTCCAAGATCATCCAGAATGATCACACGAACAGTTTGCATGTTGACTCCAGGTGCAAAGTCTAAGTTGCGACTGATTCCCACATAGTCTGTTCCAGCTTTGACAGCAACAAAAGAATTATTCAATTGGGGACTGACTAAATTTAAACAAAATTATAAAAAATACATAAT